GATATCTTCCAAGAAGATGCAACATAATTAGGTAGCTTGGCAGATTTGTTTAAAAAGGCAAGTCGAGGCAAACCAGGAATTTCCACTGCTGTTTTTGGTTTGTTCACACAAAGATGACGTTTCTTCAATATTTTTAGGAGTTTTAGGTGTTCATGCTAGATGCAGGTTTTTATTAGATGTCAGAGGTACATTTGATTCCAGAACCTCCCACTTAAGAGTAATTTAAATCTTGCAAACATCCTACACATGTACCTTATGCTACATAAAGTGAAAATAACATTATAGAACTGAATCATCACTCAATAAAGCTGACAGAAAAGGCAGAAAGAGGAATGATTAGCTCCTCAGATATTCAGGGGCACAGAAGGAGGACTTTGGGTACTAAGAGGGAGCAAAATAACTTTGATATCATTTTGGATTTTCTCTGATAGTGATGTGCCAGTTTAGGAGATCTGGATGGGAGAGGTGAGAGTTTTCCCCTTAAATCTGTTTCTACCTGGTACTAAGTCAATTCCAGTTGTTCGCATCTAAAAGGGGACTTGATCCAACATGAAGCAGATTTGCTAAGACAGAAGGACTTTGTGTTTGAGGCCCAGTGCTTGAAAAGATGAAGTTTTATTTCTGTTTCTAATTGTGACACACACCTGATATGTGACTTAAAAAGGCCTAACTCTGAAAGTTTTGGGTAATTTTGAAAATGTGGACCTCTTGTTTCTCTTACCACAGTTTATTTTTTGTGGAAGCCAATGCTGCAATATCTCACACCATTGATATCAGAACTAGATTTTTCAATCCCTTTAAAAGAAAATATTTTCTTTTAATTTCTGAACTCTCAGCATAAATGCACACATGCTTTCCTGATGTAAAGATTATTATATTTTCTTTTAGAATAATTCCTTACCTCAGTTAACTGACTGATAAAATGTGCAGTGTTTTCACTGAGGGATTGGATGCTGTCACTGAAATAATGTCCAATCAGATGAATCAGTGTATTTCTCAGTAAATTTCCCCTCATGTTTATCTGATAGGCTTAAACCCCCTGGCATGATTATACAAATATCCATTTGGCAAAGTGCTGTGCTGTAGATGGAGATAACTATTTCTAGACCCACGTCTGTTTTCTCACAGGAAACTTGTGAATCTCTCTTGAATTTAACCCTGGAAGAGGTGAAGAAGAATTACGAGTGCGACAAACCACGGAGGAAGTTTTTTGGCATCATCCCAACATCTCTGCCATCCCCTGAGCCCCCCAGCCCCGAGTTTGGGCTGGTGCTGGATGGGAGGACGCTGAGCACCATCTTCCAGGGAGGTCTGGAGGAGAAGCTGCTGGAGCTGGCGCGGCACTGCCGCTCCGTGCTCTGCTGCCGCTCCACGCCCCTGCAGAAGAGCATGGTGGTCAAGCTGGTCCGGAGGCAGCTGAAAGCCATGACCCTCTCCATAGGTACCTCCTGCATCCTACCTGCCCACCCTGCATCTCACAGGGACATGGCAGGTTCTCTCTTGGAGAGAAATGTGGGGGATGTATTGTACAGGGCAGATTTGTGTGCCTCAGGTAGAAGCAGTGAGGAAACAGCATTGACTAATCTGTCCGGATCAAAGCACCTATGAAAGTCCTGCTTCAGCTTTCACGAAGCAAATCTGCCCCCCTTTAAACAGGATGAAGGCACTACAAATTCAGAATCTCCCAGAAGTCCCCTTCATGCGCATCAGTACAAACACATGCACATATTGCCTCCAAAACATCCTTGTTTTGGGCCTGGAAATCAATCATTAGTCACTATTTTATCTTTTCATAAAGCCCTTTTCCTGTCGGATTTTCTCTGGTGAAAACAGAATTATCTCCAGAGCGGAATTATCTCCAGAGTGATATCTCCATAGGTATCTCCCCTCTGCACCTCACACAGACATGGGAAGCAGGTTTTGTCTTGGAGAGCAATGTGGGGGATGTATTGTGCAGGGCAGATTTTTGTGCGTCAGGTAGGGGAGGTGAGGAAACAGCATTGATTAATCTGTCCTGATCAAAGCACATATAAAAGTCCTGCTTCAGCTTTACACGAAGCAAATCTGCCCCCCTTTAAACAGGGTGAAGGTACTACAAATTCAGAATCTCCCAGCAGTCCCTTTCATGCACATCAGTATAAACACATGCACAACGTCCTTGTTTTGGGCCTGGAAATCATTCATCATTAGTCACTATTTTATTTTTTAATAAAGCCCTTTTCCTGTCAGATTTTCCTTGGTGAAAACAGAATTATCTCCAGAGTGGTATTAAGCACTCATTTGCCTTATACCTCCAAATATTGTGAAATGCTTTGAGTTTCCTTCCACACTTTTGGCAAGTGATGCCACTAAAATCCTTGATGAATTGATTTAGATGACTCCAAACTAAACAAATACACCTCTGCGGACAAAAGGAAAATCTATTGTATTTTTGAAATATTACTTTGCCTTACAGTTCAAACCATAAGCTTTCGGCCTTCTGCTTCATTTACTTTACCAACTAACCTAATTTGCAATCTCCATATTGCAAGCAATAAACATGGCTGTTCTTTCCCTGGAAATTTGGTTACATACCTAACTTATTGCTGTGAGTTGAAATGAGCAAAATAATTTTTGAAACTGGCTTGTTACGTTGTCATCTGCAATCAAATTTGTCATAGATTCAGAGAATTCAGTGAAATAGGGTGTTGCAAAACATGTTCCTGAGCATATGGATTTAGCCAAGCAGAAACACAAAATGACGCTGACATAAATGGGGTTGGAGTTGCTGTGTCACCACCCAGCTGGTCCCAATGCTGGATTTTGCTCTGGTGGAGCCAGGGAAGGAGACCAAGACCAGAGCCTTGATATTTCACTTGATGCCACACATCAGTTCCCCTGATCAAGCTGCATGGTATTACCGAATATTTGAAATAATCAGCATAGCTGAGATTATTTCCTTCTTCTGATGGAGGCAGCCTTTCTTGCATTGTTATTGTTCCCTCCTCTCTTCCCACTCTAGGGGATGGTGCAAACGACGTGAGTATGATTCAAGCAGCTGATGTTGGAATTGGAATATCTGGCCAAGAAGGCATGCAGGTATCCTCTCAGTTTCTTTCCTCTTTTGTCAGGTAGTCCCTAAAGGCTTAATAAGTTTCATAGCAGCCCTGCACTCTCAAGTGTCATCTTAAAAATGCAAGTTGGCATCATAAATTAATATGCAATTTGTAATTAAGGGTCCAGCCACAAAAAAAAAAAAAAAAAAAAAAAAAGAGCATTTTGAGCCAAAAAATTATCATGTGAGGACAAACCTGTGTTTGCTCATGAGACTGGAAAATTAGCAGATGTCTGCCCAGTGTTAGGTGAGCATCTGGTTTCTGAATCTTCTCAGCTGCTGCATTTCCAGGTTTCCAGGTTTTGTGGATTCTCTTCCACAGTCTTCTGCCCTGTATCCTTTCCCACACATCTCCCTTCCTTATTCTCCTTAAATGGAGAGCTCTGCAGACATAGAAAGCTCCAACTATGTTCTTGAGGGTCAGTTTGTTGGTTTGTTTCTTTTACAATATTCAATAGTAGGAAATTGCTTCAATGTCTATGTTCAAATTTCATTACATAGTGAAAAGGATGTATTGTAAATGACCTTGTATTGTAAATTATCTTCTGTTCCTTTTCCCCAAGGCTGTGATGGCCAGTGACTTTGCAATATCCCGATTTAAGCATCTCAAAAAGCTCCTTCTTGTCCACGGACATTGGTGCTATGCTCGCCTGGCAAAGATGGTGATTTACTTTTTCTACAAAAATGTGGTAAGATGATTAAAATTATTAAGTGTTCATCCTAGCAAAGGTTAATTCCAGCTCTGAGGGTTTTCTTGGTTGTTTGTTTTTGGTTTTTGCAGGTTATACTCTTATTTTTTATGAAGTTACAGTTGTGTTTCTTCACTTTGCAAGTTTATAGTATGCCCCTTCCTTCTTAGCAAGCTGCTGCATAGAGCATTGAGAAAAATACAGGCTCTAAATATATTTTGAAATAGCATTATTCCAGAGGGGAAAAGGACTCAAGGCTTAGTAACTTTATATGCTACCACAAGAAACTTTATTAATAATACCCATGAGCCTCAAAATAAAATTTGCATGAGGGAGATCAGATTATTAGCACTCAAATGTAGATGAGTGTGTACTAAGAACTGCCTGCCTTGAAACCTCTGAATTTTTATAGGAGCCACTTGCAAGTAATGATGCATTCATATCTGTCATTTTTATTAAAAATTTAATGTATATGCAAATGATCTATGCATTGAAGTATGATATAAAGTGGGAAAAATGAAGTAATTCAGTTTCTACAAGACTGGGAAAACAAGTCCTTTTGACATGAAATACACTCTGAGCACGAAAGGCTTTTTACCTAGAATTCAAGGTATCTGGTTTTTTTGTAAAGTTTTTAATAATTTTTAATAAGGATTACTTCTTATTAATGTTAAAATTTGTAGTGGAAATGAACACTTTGCTTTTTTTGACTGGACATCCTTTTAGAGTTCAAGGGCTATTTATTTGCAATGTGAATTAGCTCTCCAGACTAGGATGCTGCTGTTCTTTAATGTCCCCCATAGCATTAGGGAGCAGCACGCCTTTGATTCCACATGGACAATGAGATTCCAAAAGGATTCTAAAATCTAGTGCTCAGGGCTGTGAACAGTTCACTTAATTAATTCTCTGATATGTTCTTAAAGAACCATAATGGCTTTTAAAAAGCTGTATCACAGTGGATCACTGTGAAACAGACCCTTAGGGTGTATTGCTTTATGGAATGAAGTGCAGTGCCTTTAGCCAAAATCCTGTCCTCAGAGGAGGCTCTGTTGATAACCAGTGCCTCAATAAACAAATAAACACCACAGGTGTAACTATGTGTTTGTTGGTCTGTGCTTCTCCCAGTGCTACGTCAACCTGCTCTTCTGGTACCAGTTCTTCTGTGGCTTCTCAGGCAGCAGCATGCTAGATTACTGGCAGATGATCTTTTTCAACCTCTTCTTCACCTCGGTGCCCCCTCTCCTCTTTGGAGTCCTTGACAAAGATGTTTCTGCAGAAACACTCCTACGTCTGCCCGAGCTGTACAAGAATGGACAGAATTCAGAGGTATGTCATGGCTGCTGAAATAACTGCTTGATAATCCAAAGGACCACAGGGTTTTTTTGCTGAGGAATGAGGGAAGGAAGAAAAGAGTTTAGACTTACTTGGAATGTTGAAACAACAGGGTCCAATCTTCTGTCTCTCCAGTAATGCATTCTGCTCCATGGGAGCTGTGACACCATAGGTCACTAGGTAAGTTTAAATATGGCAAATAGTCAAATAAAAATGGCACAAAATAAGTGTTGCATTAGAAGAAAGGATTTTTGACCAATTTTATAACTCTAGAAGGAGCTTGGAGAAAGAATTTGAGGAATAACATCCATTGTGAAGGGACATGACATTGGCAAAATTCGGCTTTTAATACTCTTGCTAGACTTGGTAATATTCCTAAGGTCTGTCTTTACTTAACACAGATAAAATGCCTGTTTAGAGATAAGCCTTTGGTTTAATCAGCTGCTCAGAAGGTATTTATTCATAGAAAGAGACCAGTTAGCAATAATTATTAGTGTGAATGGAAGACAAACAGCAATTATGTTTGCAGGACAGCTAGAGACATATATCCCATCATAATGACTGTTATCTGTAAACTCCTGCAGATATACAACTTGTCAGCTTTTATTATTACAATGTTGGATGCCTTCTATCAAAGCCTCATTTGCTTCTTTGTCCCCTATTTGGTAAGTAAAAGGCTTCTTAATGTTCTCACTCTCCTGTCCTCCTTAGTAGTAGTAAATTCAGTTCTGAATAGTCAGGGTCTCTCTGCCTGTTTTGCAGATGTACAAAGATTCTGACATAGATGTGCTTTCCTTTGGAAACCCCATCAACACCATCGCCCTCCTGACCATTCTCTTGCACCAGGCTCTAGAAATGAAAACATGGGTATGTATTTGACCTGTCCTGTTCACAGCACTGTTTTGTTTTGGGGGTTTTTTTGTGAATGTTGCATCTTGTGTAGGCATAGAATTCTCTTTCAGAGTCATTTACCTGAATTCTGGGTCACAAAAGGTAAGTAGCAGATACATTAAGATTTCACAAAGTGCCAGAATTTTTTAGTAGCCCCAGGTTAAAACCTTCAGTGACAGAATTTGTTTCTATCATGCCTTTGGACAGGACAGTACCAAATACTTGCATACCTCAATATATGAGGAATGTTACTTGGAGAACTGTATTCAGTGCTGTTCTTTAAATTATTTCTGGCTATTTCTCCTACTGCAGATTTCAGTAAAATGCACTGTTAGATGCACTCTTCCCAGGTGCCTTTGTCCCCTCCTGTCTCACACCCTCAGGGTCTCACTGGCATCCCTTGTGCTTGCAGACCGTGCTGCAGCTGGTGACAATGCTCTGCAGTGTGGCTTTGTACCTCATCTTCTCTGTCGCCTACAACGCTGCCTGCCTGCTCTGCAACCCCCCCACCAACCCCTACTGGATCATGGAGAGGCAGCTCAAGGACCCCACCTTCTATTTATTGTGCCTCATCACCCCCGTCATCGCACTCTTACCAAGGTTTGGATGATTGAATGTTTTCCTTTTGTGGGCTTGCAGACATGGGAGGGAAGAAACAACAGGGATGTGTACAGATATGTGATGTGTCAGACACGTGCTGCACAGGAAAATGGATCAGAGTGGAAGTCAGATGCCTGAGTTCAACCTTCCAGTTCATGAACCATTCATTTATTCAGTTATATAACCCTAGATCAGTCACTATGTATCTTCTACTTTTCCCATCAGGGAAACCTTTCTTCTTGGGGTGCATCAAAATTTACCAGTATAGATCTGCTACCTAATTATTCACTGTAATGACCACAATATTGTTGAGCAGATCAAGATTATAAACAAATCTTTGAATTATTCCTGTATGTTTGAGAGTTACTAAATATATTCTTGGTTTCAAGTACATTATGATGCATTAGTAAGCTGAATTTAGGAGCATTTATTTATGAAAAATATTCATTGCGTCCAGAATTTTAGTTTAATTTTGTATTGCAAAAAATCAGATTTTTTAAAGATAATTTTAATTGAGACTGTATAATATTTGGAGAGGGATAGTTATTGTGATATGTTGCTGAAAAAATGGTATAAAAAACAGACTTATTCTGTTCCCATATATATATGGGAACATTACTACTTTTGATGTTCAATACATTAGCAATTCTTAAAGCAGGTATGTTTTGAGTTGCACCATTTGTTTCAAATATTTATTTGTTATTTGCTTGGGCATTGAAAGAAATGGGTTCGTTTTACTATCTTGGTGGTTTCCTTCTCATCCTAATTCCCATGAGGTAATTCAGCGCACTGGTATTACAAAATTCAGGACAATATTTTTAGTATCTGGTTTTGTAAGTGCTTTAAGGCATTAGACTCTGAGCCTTAACTTTGACTGAAAAGGAACTTTTCAACAATAGATGGTGTTTTTCTTCAAACTATTCTTATTTTCCCATTTGAGTTGAGATGCTCTTGTGATTTTTATGTTATATAAGTTCAGATCAGAATAAACAACACAATTCAGTAAGGTCTCATGTCTTCTAGGCAGGGCATCCTTTTCCAGTCTGCTTTGCTCCTGCATGACTTTTGTTTTCCTATCAGCCCTCATTCACAGTGACATTTTGACCCTGAGCTTTCTGCTGAGAGCTGCATCAAGCACGTGGTTAGAGAGCTTGTGTCTCCATCTTGGGAGTTTAGCACACTTAAGATCCTTGCTGCCTCAGCAGGTTACTGAGGTTAAGGGCTATATATTCATATCTTCAAATCTGGACAAGTGCTGTTCCTTTGTATTGGTACCCCAGATTATGCTCTGCACACACCTTTATGTGCAGAATATCCAGGACCTGTTTCTACTCCAACTGAGCTGTGCCAGCAGATGACAGCAGTGGTGAAACCACCCTCTGCTGAAATGCACACAATTTTAACTTCCATTCCATTCCATGGTCCATCACACTGTTCTGCCTGCTCCTTATCGCCTCACTTGGTTGCTGGAGGTTCTGGGTTCCTTCTAACAGGTTTTGTTAAAATAATTGCTCTCCTGGGTTCTTTCCCTGAGTGCTGCCTTTGGTCTGGGCTGCAGCACTCAGGGGGAGCCTTGGCCTGTGCCCTGCTGGGCTGTGGGAGGGCGGGAGCAGGTGAGAGCAGTTTACAGGATGGGAGACAGTTTCCCATTCCTTCTCTGTCATCCTGTCTGGTTTCCCTGGAACTTGCACTAAAGATGCAGAAAACGAGCTGAGGAGAAAGACACAGGACATTGTGACCCACAGCAGATGTACACAGAAAGTCTTGGGCTCTCCCATGCTCTTCACCTCCTGAGCAGACCTGAGATTCTGTTGGGATGGACCAGCCTGAGCACAGGCACAGCAAATTAACTTTATTCATTCCTACTTGTGCAAACCCAAGAAATCCATTGCCTTAAAAGCCCTTTCTGTACTGCTGCTTGTTAGCCTTTTTAATCTTGTAAATCTTGTTTATAGATACATTGAGCAGCAGGATGTGAGGATGGCACCTTTTGAAATGCAATTTCACAGAGTATCCATGTTTGTTATAAAATACATGTTGAAGCCACCTATGTAAAGGTCAAATCCTAATAAAAAAGATGCTTTGAAAGAGACTTTGATTTTCACACAAAGATGATATGACATGGAGAGAGGATGTATGCAGTCTCACAGCACACAATATTTAGTTACATAAGTCCTCTGTCCTGCAAAGGGCAGAGAGGACATTTCTGTTGCTGCTTTCTGAAAAAATCCAAAAGCTGAGGTTTTTAACTTCAGTTTTTCTCTTATCTAACAAATTAAGATCTCTTCTTTAGCCTGTTTTACCAGTATAAATGCAACTTCCATATTTTCAAATATTGCATCTCTCGAGATTTTTTCTAATTTTTCTTCACAAGTAGTTATAAATACTAAAAAAAAATGAAAAATATATATACATATAGTTGACTCTATACAGGTCAAGCTAAATATGTAGTAACATGTGTTAAGATCCAGGAGTCAACTTTCATCTGCCAGGTATAAGGTGTCTACCTGATGTCTGTAAATAATGGAAAATTAGTATCTGTATTTGGGATATGTGATGTAAATTATGGAATGAGCCCACTGATTAAAAAATCCATTCCTTTCCTCCTTCATCAGGTTCTTTATTTTTGCCCTACGAGGAACCCTTGGAGCATCTCTTGTTCTGAGAGCACAGCAAGTAGAAAAACTTCCTAAGGAGCAACAGGATCTTGAAATCCAGAAACTAAGATCAAGAAAAGAAGCTGCTTCTAGTGCACCTGCGGCCTCACCTGCATCTAATGATGACCTTGACCAAAGCATCAGCCACTTATGTGTGTCACCATTCCTACACCCAGCAGCAGCCCTGTCTCCCAGGGACACAGAAAATCTGGGAGTTTCTGCCCCTAGTCCTCTCGGCACAAGGACATATGAGGAAGGCTATTACTTCTTTAACAGGTGGGCAGAGGAAGAATCTGCTGCTGATTCTTCAGCAGGGCCTTCCTCTGGCCATCATCCCCTTGTAGCCAGCAGGGAAGCAGCTCCTGGGCAGGATGGTAAAGATTATCTCAAAAGCTTTAATTACCACCGGCGGTCAGTGAGCTCAGTGACACTCTGAGGAAACGTTCAGAAATGGAAACCACAGCCTATGTGGAGGGGGATTCAACAGGGAAAATGACAATGTTTATGCTCAGCCATTATTTTCACTAGAAATGGAGAGAGAGGCAGCTGGAGTAGTGCAATAGCAACTCCAATATGCAACCTTAGCTGACTAGATCATTGTCTGGTTTTATCAGTACATGGCTTTTTGATCTTCCTGGTTTGGTCATGTCACAGAAACATTACATGAGCATCATGCAGTTGCTGAGAATTGCACAATTACTTTCTTTCAACTGATATTTTTGTATCATATTAATAGGGAATATTTGTGAAGTTTCAATGTTGTTATTATTATGCTATTGGGTTAATACAAAGAGAATCCATTATTTATTAAACCAAGTCTTAAACCAATGCATCCCACTCTAGATTTTTACTCTCAAAGTCTAGAAAGAAGCTTAGTAACTTAAAAATTATAATTCTGCATGAAAAATTACTATCTGCAGATACTAAAGGTACTTGCAGAATAGCAGCAATGGAGAGACATTAGAGAATGTCCCATGTTTTAATATATGTACTTTATACATACAACAATATCAGCACTACAGCCTGTG